TGATTTATCATCCACGAATTCACATAGTCTTTGAGATCCCTCTTTTCTAATGAAAACTTGTTAAATGAAAACAAATTTAAATTTTTCATAAAAAAAAAATAAAAAAAAATAGTAAAATAATAATATATCCAATACCATACCGAATCAAGTCATAAATATAACCAAAAGTTTTATTATTTATATTTGTCAAATCACAAGCTATACGCTATAACCGCCGTATACCCGCGTATCATCAATTTCTCATAAGCTATACGCCATAGATAAAAATAGCGTATTGGGTATACGCCGTATAGCCTCCAATATACTACTGCGTCTACTCAGTAACATCCAATTTATATGAGTTAATAATATGTAAAAATCGTAACGATGGTGTCTTCGAATGCCGTAGCGGTAACCGTATCGCGTTTCCGTGTAGCATTCGAGACGTTGACGCACGAACGCGTTCCAAAGCCAATTCGTTGGCGGCGCCCAAATGCCATGGTTCCGTTCTTGTACGGTTATACCGATGAGATCGCGTTGATGTAGAATTAAATCGCAGGCCGTAGCAAGGATATTGCGATGTGGTGTATTAATGGTCGCATTAATGTTAAAAACTAACAAAAAATGGCGGAAAAACAGGAATTTTTAAAGAGTTCCGACTTCTAACAAAATCGATTTGGTTTATTATCATCGTTATCGCAGTTATAAAACCGTGGTTTATAATTTCATATTGAATTAATATTGTTAAGTACCTTGTATGTATTGTATGTAGATATTAGATATTAAATAAGATAAATATGGATAGGACATAACGTCTTACAATTGGAAATCAATTATTCCAATTGAGCTCAAGTGTACCTTTTACAATTGACTATAAAATAGTACATTCCAGAAAATATTTGTATTAAAAATAAGTTATGTTTTTTTTTTTTTTTTTTTTTTTTGAAACGGAAATTTCAGTATAAGTTCCTTATAAATAGTATCTCTTTACTATTATTCAAAAGAAACGCGTACCTTCCAAGTACTGACATTTGCTAATGGTGGTTGAACGAGGCTATTCGTATCGGGTAAAAACGTAAAAATGTATGCTTAAAGTTCGAAACACTGACTGCATGTGTTATACACGTCGTAGCTATATACGTATATTCAAACGAGACGTTTTCCTAAATTCCCCGACAGACAGGTAATCAAAAAAAAATAATTGTCATACGATTTTACTATCCACTTGGACTAAATGCCTATTGCGAGCTAGAAAAATAATTTAAAAACTGCACATTTTTATAATATTTGAGACCATATGTTTTCATTATTCTAAATCGATTAGATCGATGATTGTCATCTGTCTGCTGTCCAATAAGGATGTGAATCTCGTACAGCAACACGTGTACCTTTACTTTTTAAAGGTGAAAACCCATAGGGAAAACCCATAGGTGTCTTATTTTATATTACGAGTATTTCATTATACCATTATATTTTGTAATTCAAACAGAATTGCGATGAAATTTAAGGGAGTACAGTTTCGAATGTTATAAACATTCTCCATGTTTAATTAGCTCGCAATAGGCTTTTTTTCTACGATTGATAGTAAAATTGCATAGAAATCAAATCATATCCGCTTCAAGTAAAACGCGTCTCATTCGACACTGCTCGTTGTACGCCTACGACGTATCTATACACTTAAACGGATATACGTAATGGTGTGTTCCCGCCGAATCAACAAGCGTCTATTTACGCAGCTGTATTTGCGTTGATCGTGCGCTTTTCGTATTTATAAATCATGATTGCGATAAAACGGCGATGCGATACACTGATTTGCTCTGATTCCATTCGGCGGTGACGTCATGTCGAACAGATTCACAAAAACATTTTCTGTTTTCCGTTTCCTCCACTCGCGTTAAGACCGATCCGAAGCCGTAGATTCTAAACGTCACGAACCTGGTAGGTACGTTCTTTAGGTTTGATTTTTTTTTTTTTTTTTTTTTATCTTTCTATTTTCGCGTTTCCGTCGACAGCACTTGATATATTATTGCATACACTTATTGCGCACGTAAACAGTAACACAGGTATTCTGTATAAAGGAACGATGTCCCAACCATGTGACTGCGGTACGTGAATATTATATATTAATATCCGTTGTCCGGCACGATTTTTTCGAGACGATTTTATTACATAAGTTCTTTCGCGACCCCGGTTGAGGAAAAAAAAACACCCTTGACTCGTTGTCTACGCTAAAAAATCCCGTGCGCGATTGTCACCGCGTTTACCGTACCTTACCAACACGGACCACGCGTGACGTTTGCTTTCGACTAAAATATTTCGAATAACACGGCAAAGACCGATTCGCCATTTCGATTTCATGTCCAGGAATGGATCTCGGAAATCGGAATTATAATTATTTACCGAACGCGGAATTCGATAAACTTCGCCATTTGGACGGCGCGTCCGTTTCCATTCCCGACCAGTCAACCCGAAGATCTATGAACAATCAAACGAGCTGTAATACCGAAACGTTTCTACGGTCCCGACTGCAGTCGGGAGAGTTAAGCTCGACGTATGAAATCGCGTCAAAACACGTGTAACATCGTTCAATCTTCAACCGTCGTCTAAACTCCGTGTATAAATGTACATTACGGTCGACGATTACTTATTTTAGACTATTTTTCTGACGTGCGGGCGGCACGTCGTGGGACTTCGAACACAAACCGACGGTTTCACCATTAGTTTACATAACTAAATATAAACACGGACGTCGGCACACGAAGAAAACACGTCTATAAATATGCTCACACGTAATGGCATGTCCTTACTCCGACAAGGGTCCTAGACATTCATTGTTTTACTTGATCTGGTCATTTGCTCGTAATCGTTAAACGGTGATTTATTAGTGTCCGAGTCTTAACGTGTTCGCCGTGAGAAAACTTTTATTGCAAAACGTCAATCGTACAGTACCTGTCCATTGCTTTAAACTGTCAGATACGTTTTGAACTACATGCGCAAAAGAAAAATTACAATAATAAACATTTCTATCTACAGTAATATTATTGTTCCGACATAAATATGAAAGGTCAACTCTGAAATTCTTTCGTTTTTTATTTAACCACTACATCAATGAATATAATAATATTATTATCATATTATTTTTTTTTCTGAAATTTTATTATCATGTTCAGTCCGTTACGCTCTGTTGGGTTCTGAATACTGTACAAATGTTTATCGTTATGATAATACGGAAACGACCTATATAGGTTACATACATATATATATATATATAGTTTACATACGTAACATTATGCAGAACGCTTTTAAAACCATTTTATTTCTAAAGGTTAAATGAGATGACCAAACCTAATTTTGGTTTACGTCCCAAAACTTTTTTTCTCGTTGTCTCATCACATTTGAAACAGTCCTTTATTACAGTCTTTACTTGAATTTAAATCGATATAAAAGGCAGGCAACAAAATTATAATGATTTTAACGTATAATTTTACCGTAATATTAGCTGATGTTTACAATATGACATATTTCTATAGCAATCGCACCAGTCTCTTTGTATTTCTATGACCATCATTTTCTATCAACGATAATTTTATTCCCTAAAAAACAAAATGATGTGAAATATTAAACAAATCAAACAATAAAATCGATGAATCGTGTTGTTTAATAATTATAATGTCAATGTAGGTGCAATGTTCAGGTTTTAAAATTTATTTTTTCTCTGGATAAATACACTCAACGTATTAATATTTACCGTCACGAACTATACGTACTGTTTCGTATTTCTACAGTTAAAATTTAAACATATATTTTCTATAACGAAAAAAAGTTGCCCCATGCAATTTACAATTATAAAGAGCTAAACAAAAAACTATAGCGGCTTCAGATGAATAAAATATTATGGTTGAATTTATTCCATTCGGCCAAAGTAATTATGCACGACAACATAAAAAACTGTATCATCTTAATAATCCAGATAAAATCAATAAATATAATTTATAACCATACTGAATTACTTATTCTTTCGGTGACCGTTGCGAGTTTTTATGTTTTTTTACCAAATTACAAACTACCTACGAGTGGACTTTAAAAAAATTTAAAACTCTGAAAATTCGTTCAAGTTCTCCTTTACGTCTAGTGCATTTGGACCCCAAACTTTAAAGACGTTCGTGTAATGACTTTTGGAAAAGTAATTTCAGAAGAGGTCAACGCTGAAGGCATAATTAGAATTCTGAAACGCACTTTATTGTTCAAAACTAAATTACAATTATTACCCGTAATAGTGTTTCAGTAATTCGTCACCATGCAGTACGGCGCAGACACGGCGTGTTAATTAATCGAGTTATTGGTTTTCGTTAATCGTTCGATGATGCATCTGCTGTGTTAATAATCGCGTACGTACAATAATACCAACGAATAGGCCGAAAAAAATGTTTAATAATGTGTAGGAATCGTCGAGACTCGTAGTACCTAGTAAAAAAAAATCCATCTGCGCCTTTGAATGTATCGACTAAGACAGTTAGAAGAGGTTATACGACCGAAATCGAATCGTCTGTTCCGTAGCACGTCTAATAACAATAACCTTGCACTTTTTTTTCTTTCTTTTTACTAAACTGATAACTGCAGGTTTTGATAGAATCGATGAGGTCGTTCAGACGGAACGATGTTAATTATCCGTGACTCGATCCCGTGTTTTTCGCCCCGGCAATACCATATCGTAAAATGTTTTAAATCGAACGGGGGTAGCGTTATACAAAACCACTCCAATCACGAGAAAGATGGTAAAAGATAAAACGTTTAAGTAATATAATACATAGTTATATCATAATAAATAAGATTTTACTTTTTGAACGCAATACGTTTATAAACGTATATATAGGCGTGTCCGTGCGACCGTAGGGCACATGCGATACGCGAACGCGTCAAAAAATCAATAAAATAACTATGCAAATGACATATATTTTCCGTCACAGTCAATGATATAACACGATAATAATTTGTTGAACACCGTTTTGATTGTTGCGCAGCGTACAAGTGTCACGGAGGTTGGAAAGAAAACGGAACGGTGCACCAGATAATCAGCAGCGACTCGCCGTCGGCGGCCGGCTGGAGGAAGCTGTACTGCCTGACGTACGTCAAGTGGCCGCCGGACCGCGTGCAGGTGTCCGTGTACGCGGACAACTGCAACCCCGACAACAACCGCACCGGGGTGACGGCGGCCGACGAGGGGCTCGTCTTGTCGTTCAACATCTCGCTATCGCCGTCCGGTAAGTAGCCCATCCGCAGACGCGGTCTGTTGGTAAAAAAAAAAAAAATCGAAACGGTAAAAATCGCCGGGCAAGGAAGGTTCCAATGGGAAGGGAAAACATAAAAGAAAAAAAAAAGCGCGCGACATTTTGAACGCGACCGGTCTAAAATTGTATTGGTTTCTAAACCGTTTTTATTTATTTATTATTATTTTCGATTATTCTCACGCGCCGTGGTAGTACGACAACGATGATAGATTCTACGCCGAGTTCAACGGAGATTATTGTTACCCGATGGCGGGGGTTCAATTCGATTCGCAGGTTTCAAACGTGATCTTGGACCGAGCTGTGAACGCACCCCTGCCGCTGTTGCTCAAAACGAAATATCTCTTAGGTCTAATGTTTGCTCGTTTCGAACGGTACTCGTTTCATATCATGATACAATTTTTACTTTTACTATTTTATTTTCTTATTTATTTTCCACGACACGTTCTACCTTTTAAGTCTTACCTCCCTGAACGTTTGCCTTTCCGCCCATTCGGAAGTCCGTTCCCGCGCACGTGAACCGTACGCCACGAAAATAGCCACGCGTTTCGTCGCTGTTACCGTTTTGTTTCGCTTTGTTTCGTGACCCCTACGCGTATTACGACTCGAAGCATTCCGTCCGTTATCGTTCCAAGTGCACCCATACACAGGACCGTCCCGAAGGGGGGTCTTGGGGGGGTGTCTCACCCACCCAAAAAAAACACCAGTCGGCAGTCGGACTTGTTTCATTATAGCTTAGAAGGACCTAATTTTACTTAGGGAAAACAAGTATTACATATTTCGTAATACAGGATATACACGAATAAAATTTATATAACTAATAATTATACAATATAAAATATTATTATTATTATTATATATATATATATATATATGTATATAATTAAATTGTCAATTTTAAAAACGTGCGATACTGACACATATATATACCTACATGTTAAAAAGTAAAAATACGACTACATATAGTTAATTATACTACGTACATCGAGTAAAAAAATTGTTGTCGGCATTTTTCAAATTATTCACCTCCCCTTGATTTTCATCTTCGGGACGGCCCTACCCGTACAAACCATTATTGCCTCCTGGGTCCGATCGTCCTCGAAACGGTACGCTGCAGCGGAGTACCGGACGAATATCCCGTCCCTACGACGGTTTTTATTTCCATCTTATTTTTTATGTAGCGTGCATATTTCTGCTACCTAAAATATTTATTATACGCTGGACTCGTGCCGAGGCGACGTGCGCCTTGAACGAAACGATGTTTGATAAAAACTACTCGTGGTATACCTGGCCGACATTACGTACGAGGCACCGAAAACAACATTTATCTGCGAATACTCGTAGTTGCATGTTTTTCGTTTCCGAACGTCTCGAATGTCGATAAAACATATAGTCATAACGACCTGCAATGGTTGACTTCAGAAGTCATTACACTTGAATGCGCATAGTAATTTTGATAAACCAATACGCTATTTGTCAAATGAATGAATTCACTTTTTACTTTAATTCCGATAAGAAATGGGTTCTGCGCTGTTTTATGATGAGATATTTTCTATAGGTACATTATAATATTATTCGAGTACGCTAGTACCAAATTAAACCCCAAAAACGTTTATTCTCGTTATTCCGTCTTATACCCTCTAGCTTGTACTACAGACGAGGATATCTTCTCGTTTTCCCGTTACAGCTTTTGTTTATATCTTACATAATTCGTCGATACGATACACAAATATATACATATACATGTATACGCATGCGGGATTTCAGTCCGGATACATTTTTTCTTATTTTATCAAAGACTTATCGATGATCCTTTCGATTGCTTCATACGCCCTACAACAGATCAGTAAATTCTTGTTCGTCGATTCTAATTATGTATCAGCCAGGGCTTATTTTAACGTACGTTTGAACACATTTTGTGTAACTCTATTGAAAAATGCGCAGTTTTAAATCTTATCTATCAATAAAATTTCTTACAATAATAAATTGTAGTTATCGACTTCATGGCCGAGTGCAGGTAGAGGGTCCGTCAATCATCAGATTAGGTTTATTAAGTCTGTGTTATTATAATTACTATTTTATTATCACAATAGTATTGCACGGCCGCAGCGGGGTGTTTAATCATACACAGGGAGTAATATTTTTGAGAGTATGAGGAGAGGGTTGAGTTTTAGGTTTTGCGCACTTCTAAAAAAACTATAAGATAGGCTCTGGTATCAGCGTTGTACATAACTTCATATCATATCGGTTCAAAACATTTCGTTCCGACGTACATACAACAATATACGCAGTCCACGTAACTCTTTAGGTAACAAAATTATCACTTATTGTATTGTAAATGTTTTCGAATTAAATTAATTTTAATATTAAAAAATATAATGATTAAAAGCCAAGCTCGCGATCGCATCGTCAAGGGAGACCATATAAAAAAACAAGGTAGGGGAATTTACCGATTGTCACCGAGTCCGGGCACACACATCGCGCAGCAAGAACACAACACCGGGTAGGTCAGCACGACATCGGTGCGGAGTACTGGTGAGATTGTCGAGATGCACGACGCTGCGTTACATGCTTTTATCAAATATGAAATAATACAAAACGACGGTCAAGTTTCATAATCGTGTATAGGTTGATAACAGAGAAGGAGAAGACAATTATGTCTTAAAAAAGTGACTGATGATGGGTGATTAAGGACAATCCGGTTGAAGGAAATAAAAGACAATCAAAGAGAAGACCACGTGAAGCGGTTGCACGATATTTCCTCGAAACGGAGGGTACACACAAAGCGGAAGAATTGAGAGAAAGAAAGGAATAGCAAAATTTTATCGACGACAAACGCTTGATTTTTGTTCGCACGCGATCGTCTCGCCCCACGAGCAAATGCTACTACGGACGTGGGGGTGGAAAAAGAGTCTAACGGTGAGGGGAGGGAGTCCGGTGATCGAATGGTCCCAAAAAAAAAAAAAAAAACATTTAAAACATTAACGGGTCCCCGGGAGGGGAAGCTCGTGGATGACAATAATAATAACAGTACTTTATCGGAGGCGCTGTGTGCGCACACGTTACGGCTCGCTCGGCGGTGCTCGCGGAACGGGAAAAGTTTTCGATACATTATCGCGTACGCGCACGATACGGTTTCACGGTTTCCGTTCGGAGGAAAAACGTGATGTGAAAATGTATTCGTCCCGTCGCGAAGGATTCTCGGTCGATTTAACTTCGAACGCGATGGGAAAACGTACACGGAGATCCGTTTCCGAGCTGGTAAATACAAGCGGTACGTGCGCGCCCGCGAAATCCTCCCCCTTTGTGCCGCCCCGGCGTAAGGTCGACGCGCGAAATCGACGCGCCGAATATGAAACGTCCCGAAAATGCGTGGGCCGCGTTGAAATACGCGCGTGAACAAACGGTAAACGATAACGGTCTTGAACTCCGATCGCGTTGACGGCGGAAAACGACGGAAAGAACAGCGCACCCTTGTACGCGTGCGTGAGGCCGTGGTCAAAATAAATGTTGGATCTTATTATTTTTAAGTTCGGTTAAATCTGAGCACAGCTAAACACTGTTTTGCGGGGCTCTGGGCAACCGCTCCAATTGTGTCCCTCGCGTCGTTCCTGTTCGCACGAATCGTACGGCCAACGACGTCATTGTCGCGCGTTTGCTTGCAATAATGATTTTTAACACGCGTCCGTTTTCGATTTATTTTTTTTTATGTTGCAGGCGAAACGCCGTGCAACGAGGTCAACGAATCGTCGGTCGTCGGATCCACCTTGACCGTGGTAGCGGTCGCCGTCGGTCTACTCCTCATGCGGCAGTCGTCGGCCGACAGATGATTTTTCGCTTGAAGAGAAAAACGCGAACGGCACGACGTGATCGTACAATAATGATATAACGACGACGAACATTATATTGTTATTGTTACACTCCGTCCGCCGCCACCCAATGGGCACGTGCGCAGGCGTGCGCGAATGCGTGTGTAACATACAATTGTTTTCTTATAGCAAATGCATTTTGAAACTTTATTTTTTGTTTTTGTTTTCTAGTGTAAATAACACGCGTAACAATGTTACGCATTACGTACTTAGGTATCAACCGTATACGTTTAGCGATTAACGACGAAAACACTTGCGACGCTATTTATATTTTATACATGATTACGAACATATTATTATTATTATTACGTTATTGTAACGCCTGTGTTTTTTCCCCTCTTTTTTTTTTTTTTTGGTGTTATTTCCTTTATTTTGCAAAAGACTGATCGACGTTTTATCCCTTTTAACGGATACGCCTTTCGTACGAGGTGGCACGCCGCCGGGATGGCATATTTACGATCCATCACGATTTCGGACCGGTTCTGGTGCGTGCCCCCGAAACCTGTATACCATGCGTTCGTGTGGCTACGCGCGCTTAAGAAACACTCGGAGTGGTCCCCGACGCGGTTTTTATCGATCTCGTCGAAGATTTTCACCAAAGCTATAGACATCATCTCGTTTTGGCCCTTCGTTGGGATCGTTACGGGATACACAGTACCGTCGTGTTGGTCACGGAATGGGCTGAAAAGATAGTAACTAGGTTCGGTGGACCAATCATCCCGTGGACACTCGTCCACGTCAGCATGGACGGTTTGTCGAGAAACATGTCTTCGGACCCCACAATGAAGAACAGCGGCGTTCCGTCAAAGTAGTCGCGAATCGTTTTGGTCGGTAAACAAGTGGTAGTGCGCAACGATCGGCGTTCGAAAACAACGTGTAAAAGAAAGAAAAAAAGGGAAGAAAAAAAACAGTTTAGGCGTTTTCGATTTAGACGAGATACGCGTGAGCGAAAAAATAACCGAAAAAACTACGTACATGCATAATAATATGAATTACGAATGTATATTTTTATTATTATTATTATTATTATTATTATTATTATTATAAAAATTGATTTCGGAAAAAAAAATGTGTGATGGAAACGCGGGCAATAAATATTTTTGTAGATAATACTTAGGTATATGAAATACTATTATATATATATATGATATTATTTATGTGTTAAATTCTAGTTTTAATTACGACGATATACGTGACGTTAGTATTTACGATTTGTCTGTTTCTCACCTCTCCTAATTTGATGTAGTATAAAATGATCTATTACACGACGAAAACACATATATTATGTTCTACCTACCTATGTACCGTATTATTATTATTACTATTATTATTATTATGTTCACGAATAGCAATAATTGTAATTTATCGTGATTCTGTTATATTTTTCGTTTTCCAACCGCAGTCGATCTAAAAACCGCCAACGCTGCAACAATATTATATTATGTTATAAATTACCATACACTGTTACAATGACGTTCCGGCGTGTTTACTGTATAACCAACCGATTTCGTATTATTAAAATCGTGAAAAGCTAATCATGCTGTATGCACACCAAGAGTCGATTAGGTTATCTTGTTCTCGTTTCGGAGTAAAAGAGTTTAGGTCGCAAAACAAGACACCCGATCAACATATTCTAATATTATTACATCGGTTTCGATAGCTATAATAATATCATATCGGTCTTCTTTCTCGATTTTTATCATTTTCATCATCATCTCGATGATATGTTCAAGTTGTTATCGATTTTTCTTTATGACGCGCGTTCCCGGGATTCGAAAGCGATATAGGTTTACTGTAGGGACACTCTGGAATAACACTGTCATGTTGTCACATGTTAAAGTAGCGCAAAGTGTACTCAACGCTGACTATCAACCAGTTAAAGAGTGAAGTTTGTTTTAATTAAGTTACTTAACAATCAAGATTAAAAATGTAAAAGTTTTTTGTACAAATTATCGTATTAATACGTATAATCTAAATTATCATTGTGGAAGAGTTGGATTTCAAGAGAGATTAAAATAATGTTCATCAATATAGTTTGATAAAAATATCATGCTATTATTCAGTTAAAAAAAAATAAATAGTAACTCAAGTTTTTTTCTATTTTACATTTTAACGTTTTAACTGATTGATAAAAAAAAAAGAAGTAACTTTAAACTTAATTAATGAATCTCCAGATAAACTTGATAGGAGTTAAAAAAATTATTTTACTTGCCAGCCTTGGCAGTACTCAATAAATCTCGCACAACGTTTAAACTTCCTGTTATCATTGACACGACGGCCAAACATTGTCCGTTGTCATTGTTATCTCGACACAAACGTATGCATAGCACGTCCTGTTTGAAAAGCATAATATAATATTACGTAAAACATTTCTTTACCGTTCTCCATATTCTCTGTCGACAAAGCGTATCATATTATCAATAACGTTATTATTACAGTTGTTTCTCGATCGACGACCTATTATGATTATGTTAGAAATATTATGGGCTTATCGGTTCGAATATAACATGTTATAGTAACCAATAATAATTGTGTTCTACTTGCACGTCTCTTGTCGAAATTACAAAAGTGATTTCCACGTCGGTTCGTTGGTTTTACGTGTGTCCCGTTTCGTCCTGTTTTCTGTTCGATCCTTAACGTTTATGTAGAGTTTGTAGAGTTATACAAGTATGCTTATTGTATATTAATTGTTATTGTATACTACGTGTAGATTTGACCAACAAGACCCTGCGTATATTATACGCCTATACGGGGTAGCGTACGCGATACACGATAAATTATATTTATATTTTAAACACGAGGGGCAAATCGACTGATTGTGATAATAGTTTTACGTTTCTAAGTAAAAAAAAAAATTTGAAAAAAATTTAAATAAAAATATAATTAATCATTTTTATTTGTATCGATTTGAAAAGAATTTAAGCTAGTTGACGGCTGAGAGTAATTGAATTGTACAAATTTCGCAATGAACTTGTGATGATGTTCTTTATTTTAAAGAAATATGATTTTTTTTTTTTTTCATACCATAAATTATGTTAGACCTAATAATTTTTAGATTACGTAATTAGACGATAAGGAAAATGACGTACAATTTAGATTTAGTATATTATATTATATTGTATTCGTTGAGTATTATTATTTTCGATTATTATTATTATTTTCTTTCAATTTATATTATAATTTTACGAATAATAATAATAATTGGAATTTAGGTGCCTTGATTAGCTCGTTGTTAGAATTTTCTTATCTATTTGAGAGTACAAAAAACTGATTTCGAAAACGAACAGTTTCCGCTGGGCACTTGCACACACGCACGCACATCTACATTCTGTCTATTAACTTATTGTACGCGAACAGCTGTGTGTGCGTACGGGTAAGTGCTGTGTTGTTCACTTCATTATTAGTTGATTTGTTCGCTTTAAGCAAAATCACGTACGCGATACTAAAATTCGTATACGGTATACCACACGGGTATAAGATGTTGTGGACGGTACCTAGTAATTTTTGTCGTCCGATCGCATCTTCCCAGCATGCCCGTCGATCATTTAATATTAATCGTATTGATACCTGATACAGATCAAGATTTTGTTTTTCTCCTAGTTCTACTGCTACTCAATACACTGCTGTCACTACACAATATGTCGAATGACTGATGTACATAATTTGTTTCTGCGACGTGGCTTGATTTCATTTGAACGGCACAGCAAAAATTGTAATTATTTCATCCGATAACAACATTATTCCCAACCTATACTGCATTCTACAAATATACATATAGTTACCACCCTTCCCCCTACACCGTTCGAGAATCGGAACAATTTCTTTTTTCCATTCGTATCGTCGTACAGCGAACAACACACGACAGACCAAAGTGTATTTACGGCTCGGGGCCAATTCGACATAATATTATTGTTTATTGTTGAATATATCAGAAACATTTTTTGTGATTATATTCGGAACACAAACATTAAAAATAATAGCAAAAAAAAACTATAAGCAATGTTGCAACTGTTTACTCGAAAGTACACCACGTAAATCAATATGTTATACGCGTTATTAATTTTTAGAATTCAAAAATAATAAAATAATATTTAAGTCACAGTTATTATAATAATAATTATTGTTACCGACCGTTATTATTTTTTTTTTTTTTTTTGTTTTGTCATTGTTAAAATAATTTAGATTTGAATCTATATCGTTTAAGTAACGATTATCGGATATAATATATATACAATCGAAAAGTAGATTATATTATTATAATTATTATTATTATTATTATTATTATTATTATTGTAACACGTTTTTGATTTCCTTGTAGCTGAATTATTAATAAAGTCTTTAGTTCAATATATTATTAACATGAGTCGTTTTGTGTACATTATTATAATATATCTTGCAATAGAATTTCGACTCGTTATCTCCGAACGTTGACCCAAATACCTAAATAATGATGTAACATAATACGATAAACCACTATTTATTGTTGTCATCGTTGACCTTCCATAAAGGTTACACAACTTCTGAGTGTCGCTTTGAGGTTCTCAAACGCATCGACATTAAAAAAAAAAAAGATAACCAATATAGAACGTAGAAAAATAAAAACAATCGTACCAATTACCGTCAACCGTACGTGTTTATTACAAGCACTCGCTCGTCGATTTGCGTCCGTGACACAATAAACGTTTTCCTTAACATAATAACATAATATATAAAAATATAAAGATTTTCATATTATCTTATCGTGCCTATATGAATGAATACGACCAACAAGTGTGTGAGATATAAAGTTTATATGCGAGCAGTGGCGTGAGACGATGTGGGTAACGAGAAGCGACCACCTCTCATTTGGGGGGGGGGGGGATGGGTGGGTATCGACAAAATATACTTATTAAAATGTTTTAAAATTTTTGAGTGCACCACGCCACTAATGCACTGAGTACACTTGACGTTATTAAACACGGTACCCGCGACAGGTGTACTCCATCGTGGGCGGTATGAGAAATGGAATCGCCTGCGCTGCTCCGGTTTCCGTATAGTCGGGTGGGCGCAATGCATACGAATAACATTAGCGTTCGGGGTTGTGCGGCCGCGCGTACGCAGTTTCAGGCGCTAAACCGCGGTGAAATCCGCGAGACGACAGATGGCCGAATAACAGTGCAGAACGGGGGCGACGGACAGAAGTGCAGAGTGGACGAGAAACTTACGCGACGTACAAGCACAGATCAACAGGATCATAAGCAGTGTTAAATCGGAACAAGTCTTGTTTCTGCTGCTCCGGACCGCAATTACATGCAAACTATCCCGACGTTTTTGCGAGACCATTGTCTTCATTCAGTTACACCGATTTATGGAACCGCAATGATGCGACGAAACGTTTAATTTTTTTATTTTTTGTATGTACTTATGTTTAAAAAAATGGTTCGTTTGGCAGAAAATTATCGATACAGAAATATACTCGATAATAAATCATCGTACTGGTACGAGTAGAGCCACGCAAAATCAAACGCGAATACGCCAAAACCCATGTTGACGTGGAACAGTTGCCTCATATATTTTTGTCTCCCTTACCATTCTTGTTTTTGTCAGTTTCGCTACAGTTTTTTATTTTCCGATTAGAATTTTTTATCGAGCGCTAAAACTTCAAAATAATTCTAGCAACACTGATGAGACCTTTAATAACTACCTTGCAGGACAACTTCTAGCCGAACAGTAACATTGTAGGATAGTTTTATATGTTTGTGTCGACGGAAAAGTTTGTAGTTGTTATATAATATTTAAATATTACAGTAATATTAACATATAATAAAATGTGTAATAAGAAATTCTTCAGATGGTTACATTTTGAAATTTATGCAACTATGACCTTTACTTTTGGCCACCATCTATACCTTTATATCTTATACATGAACGATGTTTTGAGAAGGTGACCTTTTCACCGAAACCATATAATATAGTTTTTACCTGTTTCGCTTTCCGCCGATTTATTGCTCCTATCGAACGGCAAACGACAGCTGCACCGAACGAAACCAGGAAAAAAAATCA